CTACTCTTAGAGCCTTAGATCTTTGGTGGTTACATTGTTCCGAAAATAATATTAAAATTAACCTACCTCAGATTATTTTTGCTGAAATTGTTGAAACCGTAAATCTTGTTTCTAACAAGAAACTATGTTCATCCCTAGTTTACGGTTGCATTTTGAGTAATCTGTTTTCCAAAGCTGGGCTTAGAGTCGGTCTAGATGTCGTTTTCCCCTTAAGAAACAAATTAACCTTCTCTTCTTAACGAGAGCGGGATGGATTAAGGATAAGGAAACCGGTGAATGGGTTCGATCTTCTGCAAATACTCCGGGAGCTAGTTCTTCACAAGCTCCACCCGAAGCTGACGAAGATCTCGAGCTTGAGCAATTAATGCGAGACATCGATGAAGCCGAAGATGAGCCTGAGCAGCTCGAGGAGCAGCCTGAAGAGCAAGCAAATGCCTCTATATTTTCAATCCTTTATGGAGACATTCGATTTCCGATACGCTACCATGGATTCACGCTTTTCTTCTATAGAGTCCCACTTATCCACAATGGGAGCTCAATAATTAGAAATTCTTCGGGAGATGCGTGCAAACAATGAAGCAACCAACGCGTGTATTAATGACCTCACTCACGAAATGGCCGCTATGCGAGCTCGTTTTCCTCCTCCTGATCCTTATATGTTATTCTATGTTTTGCTTTTAACTCCAAACTATTTGTTTTAACATTTTGAATATTTTGGAATGTTTGAATTTGTGGATTGATTGACTTTGAATTTGTTTGGATTTATGAATGGTTAGAAATTATCTATTTGGTGTGATTAAATTTATTCATTATTGCATCATTTACTTAATGATTAGATACATGACCAATTTTGCTATTTCACATTAACTATGAATATTGATTATGAAACTAATGGCTAACGTTTCTCTTGCTTGTGATCTTAGCAGCTTAAAATATAATCAAATGGCTAAATGATTTCAAACCCTTGTTTAATTCTTTAAAATGTCTTTTTGATTTAACAAAAAGGGGAGAAGTGTTAAATGTGTTAAATGGGAGAAGTGTTAAAGTAAGGGGGAGTAATTTCAAATTTCAAAACTTGTAATTTCAAAACTTGATTTCAAAATATCAAAATCTTAAAATTACTAAAATGTTTTGTTATATCAAAAAGGGGGAGATTGTTGAAAACATTTTGATATTTCGATATAACAAATTAAGTTAAATGAATTTTAAGATTTTCCAAATGATTTTCTAAGTATATTCGATAGAATTATTCGAATATCAAAACATTACTCCAAATCTTTCAAAGATCATTTTTAATCCTTACTCAAGTGTAAAATTAAGTTTTAATCTTAAAACAATTTCAAAATAATTTTACAAAGTATTTCGAACCATTTCAAAGCCAAAAATTCCAGATTGCTCAGAGGGAGCCGATTCCCCCCCAAGGGGGTACCGATTCCCCCTGAATGGTTTGGCTCCGAGAAATCCAGAATGCTCGGAGGGAACCGATTTCCCCCTTGTATAACGGTCGAAATATTTGAATTTTACACTTAGGGAACCGATTCCTCATAGGGGGTACCGATTCCCCCACGCTCTAAAATGTTTTATTAATTGTTTTCACACTAAAACGGCTATTTATTTTCTCTAATCATCCCCAACGTTCAGAAGTGATTCAAGGTGTATTTAAGCAAGCTTAGAAGCCATTGATCAATAACAAGAAACATCAAGCAATTAGAATCAAAAGAGAATCAAAGAGAAAGCATCAAACCTCAAGTTTGAGCATTTCAAGCCTATTTTTCATTCAATATTCATTTTGCTTTCAAGAACACTTATTGTGCTCAATTGTATTTATTCTTGAGTGTTCTTTCTTTGTTCTAGAATTGTGCAAACATATTTGTCTTGTGAGGTTTTTCTTGTAAGTTTGCAAATTTGTATTTCTCTTTGAGAAAATAGTGTTCTCAAGAATTAAGGTATATTCTTGAGGGAGGTGTGAGGTTATCTCTTTGGCCTCAAAAGAAAGAACAAATTAGTGAATTTGTTGGAAAATCCTTAGTGTGGATATCTAAGGTAGTGGACGTAGACTTTGGTTGATAAAGTCGAACCACTCTAAATCGCTGTGCAATTTCTTTCAATTTTCTGCAAAAGCTTCAACCAAAAATTTTATTGCCAATTCACCCCTCTCTTGGCTGATTCAGTCAATCGATTAACTCAACAAAGTTACATATAGTATTAGTAGATTTCATCTATAGTTAAGAAAATAAGGTAAAAGTTTTAGTTAACTTAACAAGCAACGAGGTGAGCAATGAGCATCGAGCTTAATGAGTAACGAGCATCAAGCTCAATGATTAACAAGCTTAATGATCGACAAGTCGAGCAACACGTTTTCTTAACGAGCGCGAGTCAAGCAAAATTTTAACGAGCAACGAGTCGAGCCGAGCAACAAATTTTTTTAATAAGCATGAGTCAAGCACTGCTCAACTCACAATCGACTTGCTCGATAAGCACCCCTAATTTGGATGGATCTGGAGATGAAATTGGAAGTTTCAAAAGTTTGGGTACTAATTTAAAAGGATGGTCATGGTTTAAGGATGAAATTGGAATATTTAAAAGTTTAAGGATTAATTTAGAATAAGAATTATATTTTAAGGATGAAGTTAAAATATTTAAAAGTTTAATGACTAATTTAAAATGAGATTCATAGTTTGAAAACATATTATGCAATTAACCCTAGATTTTTTGTTTAAAAAAATAGATGTGAATGGAGAATGGTATTTTTTACCCCAAATTGTGGGTATAAAACAGTTATGATAATGACTTGTTTTACTCCGTGTTATCTGTTATATGAAATTACATATATAATTATAAATGGATAAAATTTTATTTTTTATAATTTACACTTGAGAAATTTAAAAAAATGTTTTGTTTTATATTAAATATTTTACAAGGATTATATTTAGATATATTAATAAAATTCTACCACTCTCGACGAGCGGCGATGAGTACCACTAACGATAAGCACCATTAATTTAATTTATAAAATTTAAAATTCTAAAGGACTAAACTTATAATTATAAATTACTTAAAAAATTAAAGGTAAATTATTTAAAATAAAAGGTAAACTATAACAATGATCATTTAACTATTGTCCCTTTTCATTTTGACCATTATTTTTAAAATTTTATCAATCAGGTCACTAAACTATTTAAATGCATTCAATTAAGTCATTTGTCGTTAATATTTAATGGAGAAGCTGATGTGGCAGTTACAATATTTGATACAATTACACATTTGGTCATTGTTACTTATATATTCTATCAATTTGGTCCTAATTTAATAAATTAAAATAAACTTAACTCTTCGACTTTGGCTTAGGAACCCCAACATAATATAAACTATCAATTTGGAACAAGAAACTATGTTTTGAATTAAAAAGTTAAATTCAAGTATCTAGTTAGAGATTAAATGAAAATCAAGTGTCACATTGAACATTAAAATCAAATTCAAGTATCAAATTGAAACCAAAAAAATTAAAAGCATGCTACTCTAATTTTATGGGTGCTTACTAACGCACATGCACCCAACAATTCATCTAAATAGTTTTACATCAAGCATATCAAAATGTAAAATTAAAAATAAAAAACTATGAAGTCACCGTTCTTGCATTGCATAACTTCAAAGTTCTAACATTGACACGTGAAGTTCAATGTTTAAAGACCAAAACAACTCCACAAACCTCAATTGAAAACTTAAAAAATACAAAGAAACTAATTAACCTGTTGTGGCTTCGCAGGGAGTCGATTCCGAACATTCGATTTCTATGTTCATTAATGAAAAAGAAAAGATTTCTATGTGCAGTTTATTCATTTCACTTGTTCTTTTTAATAAAATAGTATAAAATTATATGAGATATTAGCCACTATGGGTGACAATTTTTTTTCATTTTAATATTTAAAATTATATTTTATTATGTAAAAAAATATTTTTCAGTTAGGATTTTACTTATATTTATTTATTTTTCCTTTTTAAAAAATATTTAAATAATTTTCTTCAATTTATTCTATCAAAATCATCAACAATACCAATGTTGATTCCTTTTACAGCAAATGATGACTTTTGCAATTATTGATCAAAACAACCTATTTCTCAAGATCCAATGTCGATTCCTTTTACCCAACAAATGATGACTTTTGCAATTTTTGTTGTTATTTCAAGCTTTGAGAGTTAAATTTATTTTAATTTATTAAAATTAGGATAAAATTGATAAAAATATATAAGTAACGGTGACCAAATGTGTAATATATATAAAATATTTTAACTGTCACATTAGTTTTTTCGTTAAATATTAACGGTAAGTGGCTTAATTGAATGCATTTAAGTAGTTGAGTGACTAGATTGACAAAATTTCAAAATGGTGGTCAAAATGAAAATGGACAATAATTAAGTGATCATTGTTATACTTTACCCTTTATTTTAAATAATTTATCTTTAATTTTTAACTAATTTATAATTATATTTAGATATAATTATATTTAGTCATTTAGAATTTTAAATTTTATAAATTAAATTAATGGTGCTGATCGTTAGTGGTGCTATTACTGCTTGTCGAGTGTAGAAGAATCATCATATTAATATATACTCGATTTTAAGAAAATAAAAATAAAATCACCAAAATCTCGAAACGATCTTATGTTTATATGCATGCCAAAGTCGCCTCCTATTTAATACTCATTGGTGACCCAAAATGCTAGCTTAGATAACATGTACATAGTAGGCAAACATTAAATATTGCAACTACAAACATTCTCAAACTAGAAAAGAAAAACTAGTGATAGTATAAGATATAGTTCAAACTCTCTTTTCTTTATGAATATTTTTAGAGTAATTACATGGTAATATTTATTTATAATTTCTTTTAATATATTGATAAAGAACGCATACACCCCGCAAACAAACTACTAGAGTCAAATCTTTCTAATTAAAACTCGAGCATCCAAAACCAATAGCTCTAATGAGAAGACACAAGGAGAGGTGAAGACCAAATTTTATAAAATTCAAAATGCCATTTGAGTGTTGTAAATGAATGGGAGAGAAGTGGGTTTTAAGCCCAAATAGCCAAGAGAGACATGAGGGCAGCACCTAGAAGAAGAGAAACACTGGCTCCAGCCTGAAGTAATCCATTGTTTTGCAACTTTGGGTTCATGAAATCGGCAGCCAGAAGATCCACCAGGGCCATATATATTAGGATCCCGGCCGACGCTGCATTCAACAACCCTTCGACGATCAGGGCCGTCGGGCTGCTCTCATCGTATATGTTTGTTATTCCGATTCCTATAGCGATTCCGACCGGGGTTGTCAGCGAGAAAAACAGTGCCATGATCGTCACCGCTCGGCACTTGAATTGAGCCTAAAATAACATCACATGCTAATTAATTAGTACAAATATTTCATGACACAATCAAAACAAATGAATTATTTACCTGGGAAATGCATCCACCAAGTCCCATGCCTTCAAAGAACTGATGAAAGGTGAGTGCAGCCACCAAAGGCCTTATAGTTTTTGGACTTTCAGAAGCACCCAGAGATATTCCTATGATCACAGAGTGCACCACTATTCCCAATTCCAAAACCTACAGCATCAGATTCATCAATTTTAATAACAAAGGCAATACATATGTATGTATGATTCATGAAGAATAACAAATACCTGAGAAACTACTCGGTGCCGAAGAAGCTGAGCTGAATCCGAACTCTGGAGCATTGAAACAGAGCCATGAGCATGGCCGTGTGTGGCATGAGTATGAACCGGCAGATCCTTTTCGTTTTCCCCTGTTTTCTCTTCATCGCCACCGTTGCTTTGTTGGGTTTTATGAAGATAAGACTTGGTGTAATGAGACGTAGCAAAAACGTCAACCATCAAGGTTCCGATAGCAGCGGTCATTGCCACCAGTCCGGCGAACGGAAAATTCCCCCAAGGATTCTCATTGAGGCAAGGAGACGTTAAGTTCTCGGTTGCGTCGGGAAGAACGTGGATGAACCCGGTGGACAATATGACACCTGCGGCGAAGGCTTTGATGATGAAGAAGAGATTTTTCTCGGGACGTAAAGCCTGGAAAGTCTTCCCAAGCAGAGGAAAGCAAACACCAATGGCTCCGGCGACGAGGATGGAAGCTATGGCAGCCATCTTATATCGCAGCGCTCGAGACTTATCGCGATCTTCATCTTCGGGTTCGCAGGTGCAGTCCCCTCGTACAAGTGAAGGAGTTAGAGTTAGAAAACAACAGAGAATCGTGAAGAACTGAGCTTGTTTATGGTTGATCATGGCTGCAACGATATTATCAATAGAAAATAATATCTAAATTCTCAAAGCTGAAACTGAAAACTGAGAGGAGATGAGTTTGAAGAGACAATGTAGAATCAATCACATAAGTATATATAACTTATTGCGAGTTAAGTTTATATACAGATTATCAAATAATCTTTGACTTTATTATGAAAAATAATGAGCTAATATTTTATTAATTGGTCAACAGCTAATGAAAATCAGGTTTAGTACGGCACTAAATTCGTAAATCATGAAAAACAATGAGCTAATATTTCATTAATTGTAAAAATTAAAAGGATTTTCCTCGTTAGATTGCTAAAATGGGAGATTTCCGCGCGTGAAAGACGATCACATGCTACAAAAATGTCGACATAATGTCGACATGTAACAAGCAAGAAGAGATTTCAAAGCATTCACATTGTCTAAGTCATGCTTTATTTACAAAAATTAAAAGTAGGATGTCGATATCCCCCCCCCCAATTGTTGAAAAGGAAGGTATGGTATATTCACATTAAATTTGGAAAATATGAATATGTTATGTCACCATATCTTTTCTTTTCCTTAATAAAAATATAGAAAATAGGTACTTTATTTTATGTGGGTAATTATATTTAATGACATGTGGATATCTATTAAAATTTTAAATGTTCAATAATAAAATTTCAAATGTTATTAAAAAATATGATTATGATTAATATTCATAGTATCATAATAAAATGTTAAATTGTATATTTACATTAAAAATATCATCATTATCTTTTATCCTGTTTGTAATCGACGATCTTTTATCCCATTTTCCCAAATATAATGTCCGAAAAAATATTTCAAATTCAATTTTAAAAAGCAAAGGAATTACATAAATGAAGTTGTCATCAATCAAATTATTATTCAGGAAATAATACATAAAAACTTTAGCACAGTTTTGTATTTATCCAAAAAGAAAAAGAATCAAAAAAGAAAATAGAATATTTCATGTACCACATGAACAAAGCTCAAATCATTAGTCAATTCTATTATAATATTCGAACTAATAAAATATTTCATTTGTTGGTTAGAAAGAGTGAAATTAAAATATTTAAACTTTACGAGTTTAAAGATATATATATACCGTTAAATTTAATTTTCGTTTAGGTAAAGACTCTTTATGATTGACTATATTTATTTATTATTTTTATTCATATGCTAGATATTTATATTAGGATGTGTAAAGAATTTAGTAGTTGAAAAGTAATTACAAGGATATCGATGTATAATAACACTCATGCAATGCATGAGATTTAACATAATTTTCTCTTGTTTATTTTTAAGGACAAGAGAAATACTAATTTATAATTAATGATATTGATCGTAAAGAACACAAATACATAAAATTTATTGTATCTCAAAATTTGATATATTTTTAAAATTTAATGTATCCAAAATATTTTTCAACATCTCTATAAAATTCAGTAATGGAGTTCTTTCGGTGTTTCTCGCAGAGTACGATACCAGTATAATTAGGAGGCATGTATGTCATATTTTGTCTATATATGAAAGTGAATGATTTGTTTTGATATTTATTGTGTTGCTTAATTTTGTTTTAAAGTATGAACGTCTTCTTATGTATTTTGTAATTATTCTGACATGATTTTATGATTTTAAATTGTGTTTGGTAATTTTTTTTTTTATTTTTTTATTTTTATTGTGAGTCGCTTTAATAACCCTAATATGATACTTTAGATCGAATAGGATCACCCGTATCAATTTAGGGGTGTTACATATAGTCTTCAATGGGTCTATACTCGATGAGGATCATTTGTTCATGTGACACTCTTGAGAATTACCAATGATGCAAGTTCAAGTGGCTTCATTCCTTTAAGTCGATTTACAACATTTTCCGTTTCCCTTCAGTTGCTCGCATCTCTCAGCCCTTGAATCACAAGCAGTCGTATACTATGTAGGTTGAACCCCTGTCAGGTTTTGTAAAATTCAATGTTGATGGTGTTGTCCATGGTAGCTTTGGAGTTACGGGTGTTGGTGGTATATTAAGAGATAACAATTATTCTGTTCTGTTTAAATTCTTGAAATCCATTGGTTGTCATGACCCTTCCGGGGATGAAATATTAGTGGCAGTCGAAGCATGCCAATTGTTTTTGGATTCTAAATTATTTCCAACCTTTTCTTTAATCATTGAATCAGATAGCAGATTGATGGTTTCTGGATCAATAATCCAAATTCGGCCCCCTAATAGTTGGGTGTGAATTGGATCGATGTTCTTCGTATGTTGTTTGTTCTTAGTTTTACTGGTAGATCTAGCTGAAGTTTTGGTTTTGCTGATCTCTGTGTGTGGTTTGGGCTGTGCCCTCGTGTTCATATGTAGCTAATCGTTCCTAGATGGTTAGCGTTTGAAGGAGTTGTGCATTTGCTTCTGCTAGCTTGCTTCTCTGTGGATTTCTGTGTTAGTCAGTGACATGTTTTTTGTACGTGTCTATCATTTTGATGATAATTTTTCAATAATTATATCATATACTTTTTTTCTCCATCTAGGATTATTAATATTTTTAATAAGACTCATATCGTCATCTTGTTTTGAATGCATGTCTCTTATCGTAATATAAAACTCCCCTTTTCAAAAAAAATATTTGAGATTATTTTTAATAGTAGGAACTCAATAAATAAAACAATAATTAAATTAACATTTGACTAATTTAGAAGTTTTATAAATATCTCAAAGACCCAAAGTTGGTTTAGTAATTTGGAGCTTTTCATGTTTATCTTTTTGTCATAAACCCATAGACGAATTTTCATACCATTCATGAATATTCAAAGTCTACTTGTAAGAGTGGATTCTGCAAGGATCAATAGTGTAGGAAGATCTCTTTTCTTTTTAATTAAGAAACTTATTTGAAAGTTTCGATTCTAAATAATACTTACATTTTTATTTTCTTTTTTAAATTAAAAATTATAATTAATCGAATCAAATTAAATTTCATTTCTAACATAAATAAATATTTTATATTTGAATTAACTTGAATATTCCGTAAAATACAATTCTTTAAGAATTAAAAAATTGGTTTGAAAAGAAATAAAAAAATATCTGTAACATATTTTTTTTAATAATGAATTACTATCCCTAACAGTGTAAACGTTGACGAATTGTCAAAAAACGACAGCGTGGGAGACGACTTGACTTGGGTGCTGTTTTTAGAATCTCTGATTCTGTGGTTGTAAGTGGTAACTTGTATTAGGGGGATGACCCTATTCCTAGTTCTTCCCCCCCCTAAAGTCTTCCCGTCCAGACTTCTTGTCCTATCCAAAATTTCAAGAGTAAATTACATATATTTCACTGAATTTTATTATTTTTCCTATTTTATTCAATATACTTTTAATTTTTTTAATTTACTTATTGAACTTAAATTGTTCCTGTTTTGACCTCTAGATTATTTTATTAATATTTTTATGATATAAATTTATTATTATTATTAAATATTACAAATAATTTAAAATAAATAATAAAATAATATTTTTATTATTATTAAATTTAGAAAAACTTAAAATAATCACCGTCAACTGTTAACCATCGTCAGCCGTCGACCATCACCGAATGTTGAAATTATTTTTATATTAAATGAGAATAAAAAATTCTATGCCATACAAAAATAATAATAAAATAATTTAAAATGATCAAAATGAAAATAATTCAAAAGTTTAGTGAGTAAATTAAAAAATTAAAAGTATAATGAATAAAATAGGGTTTAGAGTAAAATTCATTGAGGAATGTTCTATTTTACCCCAACTTTAAATAAATTTTTTAGGGTTTAATACACGGATGATTACTTATATTTGTGTTTTGTCTACTTTTAGTCATTAATTTCAAAAAATATAAGACATTATCACTTTTATTTTTATTTAATTAAGATGTGGTCATCACAATTGTTATTAACAATTAACAAAATATATGGCATGATAGTTGATATAATAACTCATTTGGTCCATGTTATTTACATATTCTCTCAATTTAGTTATACTTCTAAATAAAATTTTAACATAAAATATATATTTTTAAATGAAAATAAAAATAAAATATTTTTAAATTAAATTAATAATAAAATATATTTAGTTAGTTAGTTAATATAAAAATAATTTTTAAGTTAATATATATAAAATATTATGAATTTAAGTATTTATACAAATGTATATACCATGTAGTCTACTTTAGATTAAACAATGGTCTTGGCTTAATGGTTGGATACATGTTTAGTTTTCTAAATAACCAAGGTTTAAATCTTTTTCGCCCCAATTTGCTTTCATTTGTTTTCTTTCAATCAGAGTGTAACATATGTCACTATTTGATTAGTGAAAATAAATATACTAAATTAAAATAAAGTTAGTCATTTGATCAACTGGTGACGCATGATATGAAATGTATCATTATTCGATTGAATGATTAAATTTATTTTAATTTATTAAAAGTACAATTAAATTGAGAGAATGTATAAATAGGGACCAAATATGTGATTATATCAAAATATTTAACTGTTGTTAACGCCAATTAACTCGGGTGATTACATCTTAATTAAATCAGTGCTTTTATCTTATGTTTTTTTAAAATCAGTGACCAAAAGTGAACAAAACAAAAACATAAGTGATCGTTCGTGTAGTTAACCTTTTTTTGTTAAGCTATGGTGATTATAAATAGTATTTATTCTAATATTCTCAATTATTTGACAATAAATACTCAATTATCCTATTATAGTCGTTTGTACTCGAATATGTAACCTCTAAATCCAACATTAATTCTTTTGACAATAAAAGAAAAATTCGTTCAAACTAGTATGAACTAATACAGACCGGTACAAAATACTGACTACATACAAACCAAAAGTATTGAAATAATTGAAATATATTAAAATTTTAATTTAAACAAAATTCAAATTATTTAATAATAATTTAGGATAAGAAAGATAGACAATAGTGATCAATATGATTTTAATGTGTCCTACTCCCACCACACCTAACAATAAATATATTATCATCTATATATACAGATGTATATGTAGTACTGGTTTAGATGGGGTTCGTTTGTGAAATTAATAAAAGACGTTTGA